TTTTTTTTTTTTTTTTATCATCCAATAATTCTCGCGCGCTCTCTCTTCTCTCTCTCTCTCTCTCTCTTTCTCTCTCTCTCTCTCTTTCTCTCTCTCTCTTCTCTTTCTCTCTTTTCTCCTCTCTCTCTCTCTCTCTCTCGCTCTCCTCTTTATCTCGCTCTCTCTGTCTACCTATCTATCTTGCTTCTCTATCTATCTTTCTATCTGTCTCTGGTCTCTCTCTCTCTCTCTCTCTCTCTCTTTCTCTCTCTTCTCACTTTCCTCTCTCTAAAACATATAATAAAGAAAATTGACAGACAGAATATCGCACGCAAATCAAGAATAGCGCCATGACCATGTATTACATTACTATTGCCACAGGAAAACGTTGGCGCCGTTCACCTGCTCTGTTCGATGGTAGCGGATCCCGTTCTAGACCAACATCGTCTGTCCAAGTCTGGCTAAATCCTTAAAACTGCATGTTCTCAAAGCCAAAATGCATAGATATACCTACTGTGAGCTCGTCTATGTTGCAAAAATCACTACAACTTATCTGATTGCTACTCAAAACATTTCTCCGGCAACCTGAAACAGTCTTACGCACTGACGCCCACAGGTCTTGAGAAGTAGAAGCACAGGATAAAATCCTCAGTGATAATAAAAAGCAAGCGCTGTAGCGCTCGCCTGCATGCTAGGGGGTCTGGGGGCATGCCCCCTGAAATTGTTGAATGGTTAGACGTCTGGAGATGCAATCTGGTGAGTCTTGCGAGAGAGATTTTAGAACAAAATTTTTAACCAAAATTTACTGGAAGCACTGTGCTTCCAGTGCTTCTATCTGCGGGCGCCACTGGTCTTACGAAACTATAATACGTTCGAATATTTACAGTGTTTACACATCCGGGCACAGCCGAGCCGAGTTTTCATTAACGATTATTTTCCATGATAAGACAAGGTATTAATTTAGTATTCGATGTTTGTTCACAGTAGGTATATAATGTACTGATATTATAATATATTATTCTATATTATAGGTATTTTGTTTGCGGTGTTCATTCCCGGTGCTCTTCACTAAAACTAAGCTGAAGGAGTCGTTGTCGTATCAGGCTACTACAGGATTGTACCGAGTACATATATGTATACAAAAAGTGTATCCACTTGTACTCAGAGTGTACGTATCCCTAACCTAACGACTACGCCTACGCCTACCCCTAACCTACCCTATACCCTAAACATACTCATTAAAATATCAAACTAAAACTAACACAACCTAAACTACTCGGGGTACTATTGTAGTACCTGATTACGACAACGACCCCATCTGCTGAAACTATACTATAAAATAAAGCTAAGCATTAAACTTTATTAATATCTATAGCATAACATTAAAACTATACTTATAACTATAGCTAACATTAACTATACTATAATATAGCTAACATTAAAAACTATACCTATAAAAACTATATGCTAACATTAAACTATATTATTAAACTATAGCTAACATTAAACCTATACTATAACTTTTTTAACTGCTAGCTGAACATTAAACTATACTATAACTAATAGCTAACATTAAACATATAACTGTGCGTGTGCGTGTGCGCGCGTGCGCACGTACACGCGTGCGTGCACGTACACGCGTGCGTACGCGCATGCGCTCACATACACGCATGCGCGCACGTACACGCATGCGCGCACGTACACGGATTCACGCACATACACGCGCACGTGCGCACACACGCGTGCGCGTACGTACACGCGTGCGCCCACATACACGCATGCGTACACATGCACGCGTCCGGTCATGTGCGTCTGTGCACGGCAGATGCACTCACGTGCAACTGCTTTTCGCAGGCGGAAGGTACACGCCCGCGTGTATGTACAAGCATGCGCGCGTGCACATAAGGAGCTCGGCTGCACGATCTTGGACAAACACGATCTTGGACAAACCCAATGCTCTCGTGGCAACACCGGCATCCTGACTCTGCGACTGTGCACGAGTCTTTGTGCGGTTGGGCGGCATGGGGTGCATGGGTGGCATGCCACGGAGAGTCGTGTTAGCTTCCTTGCCTGACTCGCAGTGTTGTTATTACAATAATCCTACATCCCAGAAGCATCTACACGCACGCTGATACACTCATCAACCTGAATAGTTAACTCACGAATCTAGGCGACGCATCGCCATGACAACTGACCAGGCAGTGCATTAGAGCAGCAGCATTATGAGATAGGTAATCCGTGTCGGGGCGGCGGCGGCGGCGGCGGCGGCGGTAGCGGTGTTTCTATCCTGTTATTATCCGGTGGTTTTTTTTGATCCTCGCAAATTGCAGGTTAATGCTCGCCGATTATTCGACGACTACAAAAATATGATTACGCGTAATGCATCGATGACCATGCAGGCCGGTGCACGCATGCATGCATACATGGCATGCAGTGGCATGGCGGTGCGGGCATGCACGCATGTATGGCGGTGCACGCATGCACGCATGCATGGCCGTGCGCGCATGCACGCATGCACACATGCATGGCGGAGCGCGCATGCACGCATGCACACATGCATGGCGGTGCGGGCATGCACGCATGCATGGCAGTGGCATGGCGGTGCGGGCATGCACGCATGTATGGCCGTGCGCGCATGCACGCATGCACGCATGTATGGCGGTGCACGCATGTATGGCGGTGAGCGCGTGCACGCATACATGGCGGTGCACGCATGCACGCATTCATAGTGGTGCGCGCATGCACGCATACATGGCGGTGTACGCATGCATGGCGGTGCGCGCATGCACGCATGCATGGCGGTGCACGCATGCACGCATACATGGCGGTGCACGCATGCATGGCGGTGAGCGCGTGCACGCATACATGGCGGTGCACGCATGCATGGCGGTGCGCGCATGCACGCATGCATGGCGGTGCGCGCATGCACGCATGCATGGCGGTGCACGCATGCACGCATACATGGCGGTGCACGCATGCATGGCGGTGCACGCATGCATGGCGGTGCGCGCGTGCACGCATACATGGCGGTGCACGCATGCATGGCGGTGCACGCATGCATGGCGGTGCACGCATGCATGGCGGTGCACGCATGCATGGCGGTGAGCGCGTGCACGCATACATGGCGGTGCACGCATGCATGGCGGTGCACGCATACATGGCGGTGCAGCGCGTGCACGCATACATGGCGGTGCACGCATGCATGGCGGTGCACGCATACATGGCGGTGCAGCGCGTGCACGCATACATGGCGGTGCACGCATGCATGGCGGTGCACGCATACATGGCGGTGCAGCGCGTGCACGCA